CAGTTGATAAAACTGGACACATAAAAGTTAAGAAAACTTGTCCAAGGACAAAGAGCCAGTAAGTGGTGAGCAGGGTCCAACCAGGTGGACAGGTCACAGGCAAGCTGCAGACCAGAGAACTGAGAATAAGCTCCTGAGCACTTGAAACTCCTTGACTCCATTCCTTCACAGTTCTCAGTTCTTCAATCCTCTGCTTAGCCTGGCTTGTCTGGGAACTATTACAGAGGGACCAATCCTAGCTACTACCTTGACTGGAATTCTGAAGATAGACAGCCATCTGTTGTGTGGGGAGTCTAGAATCGGAGGCTCCCTCCTACTCTTGTCATGCGGTGTGAAATCTCACATCGACTCAGCAAGTGGAGTTTGCTCTTGCCATGTGTGGTGGGGCTGGGCATAGAGGGCGTGGCATGGGGATGGGGGACGGCTGAGCTCCCAGAAGTCAGAAGAACTGTGTGCGAGTTCTTCCATCAAGGGTCCTCCATCTCCCACTCCCTGTCCCAGAGGGAACATCTATGGTCTAGACAAGGGCTTTCCAACTTCCTGGATCCTAAGGATTATCCAGAGGGTTTGTTAAGAAATACAGACCTGGGAGCTGGGGATGTGGCTCAAGTGGTAGCGCGCTCGCCTGGCATGCGTGCAGCCCGGGTTCGATCCTCAGCACCACATACAAACGAAGATGTTGAGTCCACCGAATACTAAAAAAATAAATATTAAAATTCTCTCTCTCTCCCTCTCTCTAAAAAAAAAAAAAGAAATACAGACCTGGGCTGGGGTTGTAGTGCACTGGTGGAGTGCTTGCCTAGCACAAGTGAGGCATCACATAAAAATAAATAAACTAATTAAATAAAGGTTTTGTGTCCATCTACAAAAGTATATATATATATATATAAATTATATATATAAATTATATGTATAAATTTTACATAAGTATACATATATATGTGTGTGTGTGTGTGTGTGTGTATATAGTGCAAATAAAGAGCTTGGTGGAGGGGTCTGTATTTCTTTATATATAGAATAGAAAAATACATATATATATATATATATATATATATATATACACACATATAATACATAATACATGGGCTGGGGATGTGGCTCAAGCAGTAGCACGCTCGCCTGGCATGTATGTGGCCCGGGTTCGATCCTCAGCACCACATACAAACAAAGATGTTGTGTCCGCCAATAACTAAAAAATAAATATTAAAAAAATTCTCTCTCTCTTAAAAAACATTGTCTCTCATTTTAAAAAAGTACCTAATACATGCATATGAAAATAAGCCACATAAAAAATAAATTAATTAAATAAAGGTATTGTGTCCATCTTCAACTAAAAATTTTATACATATTTAAATTAAAAAATTATATATGTTATATATAAATTGTATGTATATAAGTTGTATATAAATTATATATATATATATATATACACACACACATACATATGTATATATATAAAGTTTGCAAATAAAGAGCTTGGTGAAGGGGTTTGTATTTCTTTATATATATATATAAATGTATGTATATATATGTGTGTGTGTGTGTGTGTGTGTGTGTGTATATATATATAAATATATGCATGTATGTATATGTGTATATATAAATAAATACAGATCCCTTCACCAAGCTTTTTATTTGCAGATTTTCATTCATGAGATTGGGCTAGGAAGTGGGCCTAGATTTTCTTTTCTTTTTTTGGGGTAGGGGTACTAGGGATTGAACCCAGGGGCACTTTACCACTGACCTTCATCCATCCTCAGCCGTTTTTTACTTTTTTATTTTGAGACAGGGTCTCGCTAAGGTGCTTAGAGCCTTGCTAAGTTGCTGAGGCTGGCTTTAAACTTGCAATTCTGCCTCAATTGCCCAGGCTGGCCTTGAACATGGCAATCCTCCTGTTTCAGCCTCTGGAGTCACTGGGATTACAGGCATGCACCACCATTCCTGGCGGGGCCTAGGTATTTGTGTTCTTAGCCAAGAGTCATTATCAGTGGACATGTCCTTGGTGTGCTTGCTCTAAGGTAGGAGCTGGACAGTGAGAACAGGTGGGATTCAATCCCTTTCCTTGAGGACCTAGAAGAGTGGTGACCATTGAGTGGGACAATGACAGGAACCGTACAGGGTGTGTTGGGAGAACAGAAAGGGTTCCTGACCCAGACCAGGAGGTAGAGTGGGGAGGAGATCATACCTTTCAGATCTGAGTTGGGACCTTAACACGACACACTCTGTCACTCAAAGTGGGGGTCCTTGAACTGACTCTTCCAGTCATCAGAAGCGTCCCCACATTCTGTCCCCTCTCGTTGCCAGATCTAAAAATCACACACAGGACTTGGTCTTCCCTGCACATGCCCCCTCCTCTTTCTATGCCTCCCATTCCCCAGGGGCTGGACATGTTGGCTCCTCTTTAGTTTCTTTCTCGTAAGAAGCAGTTCTAAGCTCCAACTCCAGGCCTGCTTAGATGGATGCCCTTGGTTGAGTAGTGACAGAGTGGAGCCCATGGGGTCAGTGTGCCTC